TTGATGTTAAACAGAAATGGGGTCTTTGAGAGCCAGTGGTTTAGAAGAAAAAATTTATAGTAATACGAGAGTATCATACTTGATTTTCAATACATTACTAATGTGGCAAGCAGTAAATAGAAGAAAGTATGTACTTTTGTAGTACTAGAAATTTTTTCTTCACATTAAGAAGGTTTATTTTAATTTAAACCGCTAATAAATACTTAAACTAACCATAGTGATCATTAGAGACGTGCATATTTTGAGTCAGATTTGTGTATATATACATCTTTAGAAGGCGAAAGGTTACGTAGCTTGTAAAAGAAATATATCTAAAAAAACCAACTAGAAAATAGAGAAATATGTTACTAAGTGCCAAGTACAAAAAGACTATAAACAAAGTAAGGATAATCTATAAGATATCCTACAAACTGATTAAATTTATTCGAAYCTATTAGTATCACAATAGAAGGTCGTGTGTTCGAATCTGTAATTTTTTTTTGAAATTTATTTTAAAGTAGAGAAATCTGAATCTTCATGTAAGGTTAAAATGTATATTAMTATCCTTATTTATTTATTTCATACCATATAATTTTTATATGCGTTTCTAATTCATTTAAGATTAAAAAAAGTGAAGAAGATACGGCACTAAATTAAATCTAATAAACCAAAGAGGCCCAAAATGTGGGGGATGATTATTTGATGGGTGAAAAGAAATTTGGTTCATTTTGGAAGGATTTGGTCCACAATTTGTCTCTATTATACCCATCAATCAACATCAATGTCATTTTCTTAATGTGTACCAAAACTTTTCCAAGTGTAATTGTGAAAAGTTTCAAATCTTTTTACCCTCAAATTATTCAAACATGGGAGATTTGACTTTGTTTTTGTTTTCTCCCCCATTTTAACTCAATTTTAGTTTGATCTCTATGATTTAGAAATTTTAATTTGTCTTTTTGCAATTTGATTGAATCTTATAAATGATATATAATCCTTTTTTTTAACCAAATTTAAAATCTTACCAAAATAGTCAATGGAAAAATATCAGTATTTGGTTCTATACTTTCAGTTTTGGTTCCTTTTATATTTTTAAAATGTTTGTTTTGGTCTCTGTACTTTCTTATTTGGTTCATTTTAGTCCCTGTACTTTTGAAAAGTGATCATTTTATTTTAAATCTCATTTTTTCTATCACAATTTCAACACCACATTATAATCAATACATTTCTTATAACGTAAACATTACTTTATACTAAATAGTTTACGTTATGTGTAAAATTTGTGTTAAAATCTTGCGAAGAGAAACTAAAATGATCACTTTTTAAAGGTACAGGGATAAAAATGAATATTTTCAAAATAGAGAGATTAAAATAAACCAAGGCTAAAAATAAATAAATGACCAAAATAGAGGACTATCAAACCAGCTAGGCACTTATCTATTATACTATGGAATCACCAATGCAAGAAAAAGGTTCTCAATTGAATCTTATTGACAATAGAATTATGATTTAAGGAAATTATAAAAAGAAAAAAAAGACACCAAAGGAGGGCAGCTAGCTGGCTAGCTTAGCAAAGTGACAAATAATTTATTTATTTTACTTTAAAGTCATTTCATTAATTTAATACATTTGGGTTGTCCAATATATTCTTTTGACTAGGCACCAGCTTCCATTTTAAGTTAATTGGTCAATAGATTCCCACCTAAAATAGTAATTGGATATTAAGAAATAGTTGCCTTTTTTAATTTCCTTTTTTAGAAGGAAAAATAATAAAAAGCAAAAGGTTTTGTTCTTTTTGTAGCATCCAAGCAAAACCGGTTCTTGTCTTGTCCCATTTGCATTTGCATTTGCCACTCTAAAGTCTAAGGTGATGTTTTTCATAGGATTTCCATTAGGGATTTGACCAAAGTTTTATCTAACTATACTCAGTTTGGTTTTCTAAAATTATAAGAGAAATTAGCACATAACATGAACACAATTTCTGTCTATTTTAGTTCCTGAATTTTAAAATTTATAAACATTTGTGTATTGAAACTTTCAAAATATCTATACTAGTCTATAAATTTTTTAAAAAATAATAATAAATATTTTAATAATAATTATTATTATCATCATCTTACTTCCCGTCTATCTATGATTTAGTCTAATTATGTGACTCAAATATATAACGCTGAGTTCAACTAATTAATATTTTAAATAAAAACAAAATATTGATAAAAATGAGAATAGCTATACTTTTAGAGGTTTAGTCTAAGGATTCATGATATAATTTAAATTTTTTAGAAATATTATATTTTGATTTAGAATAACATGGGATTCGTTTTTTTTTTTTTTTCTTTTTCAGAATACATAAAATCAATTTAATATTTCATGATTTCTTGTTTTGAATTGACATAATGAATTTAGTATAATTAACGGTTTACAATACCATTTGAATAAAAAATTTAGTAACACACATTTCTTTTAAGTATATAATAATAGATTCTTCCATTCTTTCAAAAGCATTAAGATACGAAATTAAAAAAAAAAAGAGAAAAAAAAAGATCTACTAGTTGATTCAATTGGGATATGGTTTTGGCATTTTGTCCCTTTAAATTATAAAAGATCTTGATGATTAAGCCGTTTGACCTAATAACCCATTACTAATTATATTTTCGTACGGACAAAAATTAGCACTAATCCTATCCCTATTATAACCTTAAAAGTTGCACATTGTGACGAGACCACGACTAATTTTAAGGAAAATTTTATACTAAGATTTGAAATAAAATAATATATCACTTAATAACGTACCATAATTTAAAAGTATTGATCTATCAATTTTTAATTGTTAGATAGCACAGTTGATCAAGTGATTTGATATTTATACACGACTTATGAGTATTTTTTTTCTCTTTTAAACTAATTTATCTTCTTTAATTTCAAAGTATACTGGATGTTTGAGTTAGAATATGTTAAATTTGTGTCATTTATTGTTAAGAAATTGAGTCTATTTGTTAATTGTGTGAGGTTGCTGCAAATAATTTGTTAATCATACCAATTACATAAATCTAAACCAAAACTTCTATGAAATAAAATTTTAATAAATCACATTTCTATAAATCCAAGATTTTTTTTTTCCATGTATAACTCATTTATTTGCATGATCCAAACACAAAATACATGAACTCAAATTTTACAAATATAGTGTTTTAAAAATATCAACTTAGTAAGGGTTTCTCTAATTCCTCCTAAAGTTTGGTCCTAATTCATATCTTTTTTTTGTGTGTAACATATTGGGGAGGGGATTCAAACTTACAACCTCTTATTTGGAGGTATATGTCAATTACCACTAAGTTATGCTCGTTTTGGCGTCTTAATTCATATCTTTTTATCATGAAGAATACTGTTGATTTTCTAATGTGGGTCATTATTCATAGGGGTAAATAGAATTAGTCGGATTTACTTAATGTCGGCCCTCTTAATTATTATATATATTAATATTAGTTCAACGTACGTTATTTTGGAAAAAAAAAATTAATAAATTAAGATTAAATATGATTGTTCATTTCTTAACTTTTATCCTTTATTCTATTAATATGTTACAAGTTTCATTTAATGACTAGTTTTATATCTTTAAAGTTAAACTTTTATCAAATATTCTATTTTGATCTTGTTATATAAAAAAAGTTATATTTTGATTCTTAAATTTTAAATGAAAATTCATTATACTTAGTTGTTGTCATTACTATTTTCCTTTTGTAATAATTTAATGTAATATGTTTTGAACAAATACTTTAGATATTGGGTTAAAAGCTCAATACGAATTGTTGCAAAAAAAATTAATAAAAAATTGATGGTAAGATTTTTTTTTTTTTACGTAAAATTAAGAAAATATTAAAGTGATAGCGATAGCGTCATTAAAAAAAATTAAGACAAAAATAGAATATTAGAAAATTAAAAGACAAAAAAAAAACATAGAAAATTTGGACCAAATCTAAAACAAAGAATTTGGATCTTAAATTTGAGACTCGGCCCAACGGCTCTTGACAACGGATTGGATCATTAGGGCGAAAATTGTAATAAATGAATGGGCCAAATACAAGAGACATCAACCCACTAATCAGAACAATATAACATGACCATTTTGTCCATTGAGGTCTTTAATAACAAGCTAATAGTGGACCCAATCTCTTAAATTAGTCGCTCATTTAAGGGGTATTTTTGTACTTCAATAATTCTCGACCACTCGCTTTTAAACGATAACGAAGCATCAAATTGACCTTTTTTTAGTTCAACAATTGCTGGTCAAACTTTGAAATGCCTGAAGCAAACATGCTCTGTGTACGAGTATGTGAAGATCATCTTTCATAACTTTCCATGGATATTTTTGATACGATGGAAGATGACCGACTCTTCGATTGAATGAAGGGGAATAAATATCTTATTTACTTAATTAGATTCGAGTTGTCTGTCATCCTCTTTAATCCTAAAAGTGTATAATTCGGTTTGAGTTTATTTTTGGACAGAATCCATAGAACCAAATTAAACATATTAGATTTGAAAAAAATGTTCAAACTAGAGAATTATATGAACCGACAAGAATAGTTCAAATTGATCGAACTGACTCGAACGTAACGGGACCCTACTCCCCTCCCCCACCTTGAAACGACATGTCGTTCCGGGGCCTAGGAGGCAAAACCTTCGCGTTTGATTTTTCCCATACGGTGGGAAACTAAAATAACGTGGAAGCCGCGCGAATGGGCAAACTCTTCAAATTTTAGAAACGAAACTGCCCGCCATAAACCGACTTAATCGATCCCCACGCGCGTCAACGACACTCGCTCGATTCCGCCCTCGTGTACTGGAGCGTGTGGCACAGTTTCCAAAGGTCGCGTGAGTCTTAGTCCCCCCCAACTATAGTGATACTTCACGGGCACGACTTTTCTGTTACCACTCATACGCGCGAGTTTTATTTCTTTTGAGCCGACGAACCCCGCAGTCGCCGTACACCTGTTAACATAAAAAGATAGAGAGAGAAAGTCTTTTCTTTCTAGAGAGAGAAAGTGTGTGGTCGTGGAGAGTGCAAGATCCGGTCGCACACACAACAGAAGGAGGAAAAATTCGAGCTCCAAACTCGAAACCCTACTGTTCATTTCTGTAAGCTGAAGCTCGCCCCCTTCTTCTTCTTTTTCTTGTTCTTCTTCACTTTTATCTGCATGTTCCATGCGATTTCTTGGTTTTGCAGCCGTGTATTAGGGTTTTGATCGGAGAAACCTAGCCTTGTTGTTGGCGCCCTAGAGATTAGGGTTTTCTTTCGCTGTCTTGCTGTAATTTTTCCGTCATTTGGGAGAATTGGGGGTTGCCCTGTTTTGTTACGGCAGACAAAGCTCTATTTGGGGTGTTTTATCTTTTTCGGAAAAGGTTCAGCTGGGGTGTTTTGGCTTTGTTTTCTTTTTGGGGAATAGGGTATTTAGGGTTTTGGTTGAGTTTCATGTATGGCTTCGGGACCTACAGTTGGTGAGGGAGGTGGGGGTGACGGTGTTCGAGAGAAACAGAGGTACGTGGAGAGTAAGGTGTACACTAGAAAGGCCTTCAAAGGCCCCAGGAAGATCAACAACAATAACACAAATTCAATTGCCGATGTAACCCCCTCCACGACCTCTGCCCTTGAGAACAAAGACGACAACGATAATAACCGGAGTAAGGAATGCACTACTGCCCCAACCACCACTACCACCACCAACGACAACGACAACAACAATACCAACACCAATAGTAACGTTAACCATGATAATGATAACAATTTGGCTCAGCCTCTTCCCCGTACCACAGTGACAGAGGAGAAGAATTCGATTCAGCAGCAGCTTATTTCGAAATTGGATGCAGCCTCCGACGATTCCTCATGCCTTAACCGTCAGCAGGTTGCAGTGCAGAGCACTCAGGACGAACCCTCAGGAGCTGCAGTGCAGAGCACTCGAGACGAACCCTCAGGAGCTGCAGTGCAGAGCACTCGAGACGAACCCTCAGGAGCTGCGGTGCAGAGCACTCGTGACGAACCCTCAGGAGCTGCAGTGCAGAGCACTCGGGACCAACCCTCAGGTAATGGGGTCATGGAAATGGCTGTGGAAAATCAAAATAACAATAATTTGGCGTCAAGGTCTAAGCAGGAGATGCGAGAACTTCGGCATAAACTTGAGAATGAGCTTCAGGTGGTAAGAAATGTGTTGAAAAGAATTGAGGAAAAACAGGGCCAGTTAAGTGAGTCTAGTAATGTTCATGGTTCAGCTAATGAAGTGATGGGTAAGATTGTTGGAGAGAAACCGATTCACACTGAGGTTGCTGCCATTCATGTGCCTCGTGAGCCTTCCAGGCCTCTAAATCAATTGAGTATATCAGTGTTGGAGAACAGTCAGGGTGTGAGTGATTATGTGGAGAAGGAGAAAAGAACTCCTAAAGCTAACCAGTTTTATCGAAATTCAGAATTCATACTTGGAAAAGATAAGTTCCCACCAGCTGAGAGTAATAAGAAGGCAAAAATGAATATAAAGAAGCCCGGTGGAGGAGAAATCACTCATGGTTTTGGGCTGGGTTCCAAGTTTTTTAAGAGCTGCAGTTCACTTCTGGATAAATTGATTAAGCACAAGTATGGTTGGGTGTTTGATGCCCCTGTCGATGTGGAGGGTCTTGGTTTGCAGGATTACTATACCATTATTAAGCATCCAATGGACCTGGGAACGGTAAAATCTAGGCTTAACAAAAACTGGTACAAGTCGCCTAAAGAATTTGCTGAGGATGTGAGACTTACATTTCTTAATGCTATGACATATAATCCCAAAGGACAAGATGTCTACGTAATGGCAGAGCAATTGCTGACAATATTTGAGGATAGGTGGGTTATTATAGAGTCAGACTATAATCAAGAGATGAGGTTTGGACTGGACTATGGAGCTGCTCTTTCCACCCCTACTTCCCGGAAGGCTCGTCTTCCACCACCACCTCCTCTTGACATGAGACGGATATTGGAAAGGTCAGAATCCACCACATATCGTCTTGATTCCAAGAATAAGCCTTTGAGCTCTACTCCCTCAGGTAGGACACCTGCTCCAAAGAAGCCGAAGGCAAAAGATCCTCACAAAAGGGACATGACTTATGAGGAGAAGCAAAGGCTCAGTAGTAACCTTCAGAACTTACCTTCTGAAAAGTTGGATGCCATTGTACAAATAATTAAGAAGCGAAATTCAGAACTGTTTCAACATGATGAAGAAATTGAAGTGGATATTGATAGCGTAGATGCTGAGACACTCTGGGAGCTTGATAGGTTTGTGACAAACTACAAAAAGAGTTTGAGCAAGAACAAGAGAAAAGCTGAGCTTGCACTTCAAGTGAAAGCAGACGATGAACACAATATTCCACGAAAGGTAAAGCTATGAATAAGATTTTTGATGTATATTTTGTCATTGGGCTGTAATGTACTAAAGATGGATCCTGTTATTTTCTTTTATAGATCCAGGCCCCTGTTGTGGTGGAGGTCCCAAAGGAAACTAAAGCAGGTGGAGAAATCGTTGCATCAAGTTTTTTATTCTTATTTGGTTAGTTTTATGTATTTTATTTATTTAAAATCAAAAATTTTGATTTGTACACAGATGAAAATGTGGTTTCATCTTCAGTGCCCGTTCAAGGACAGGGCAATAGTAGGAGTAGATCAAGTAGTTCAAGCAGTTCTAGCAGTGATTCTGGATCTTCTTCTAGTGGTATCTCTATTTTGTTTTTTTTTTCTTATTGTTTTTTTCCATCTGAAGTTATGATAATTACTCCACTTCTGGCATCTTAATTGTGCATTTTTGTTGAAGCTATATTCCTATTTTTTGGATATATTGCAGATTCTGATAGTGAAAGTTCTTCAGCATCTGGATCTGATACTGGGTCTTAAAGGGCTTCAAATATTCTTCAGGTCGTGCTGTCTAATTAATTTGAATCTCTCTTTTAAATAATATTTTTGGAATGTGTTGTTATTCCTCTGATAAATTCTTGGTTTCTGGATCCCTTCTTCACCTGCATTTTTTAGTTGTATAATCTAATCTTGGTGTAGTTGAGTTCAATCTCAGTCAGGGTTGATATATTTATCTGTTCTATAGATTAATCAGACCAGAAGACACTTAGTTCAACTCTAGGAGGTGAATTGAGGTTACTATATAAAATATGTAAAAAATGTTCGTTCTGGCCACTTGTCTGCTAAGAAAATTGTGTTGTCCTCATTAAACGTTTCTTGAGGCTATAGATCTTAAATGCTTATTCACGTTGAATTTTTAGTTTTTAGTTTTAAATAAATTTATTATTGACTATTGAGTCTGTTATGAACGAACCAAATTGATTAGAACTTTTTCAAAAATAGACTGTTGTCATCATTGAACTCGTTGAATTTTAAAGATTGTCACAGTTTGCTCTTAGTGACATTAGAAAGGTGACAGAACGATTTTAATCAAGCTGCTGTTATGTTGATAACTTCAGATGATGAAGTAGAGACTACATAAAATTTGAAACCTTGAGTTCATGAATTTGCACATGATCATGGAAAAAGATTAAGATCTATATATTATCACTCTAGTTTACCAATTATCTTTGCGCCTGGGAATAAGCATGTGATTGGCAAATTTTACAATTATCTTGACGAAAGCGTTCTTATACGCTGTTTGGTTTCTTTGTACAGATGTCAAATTTTTTGAAGTCGTTACTTCAGGTGGAACCCTCCTCAGCTTTTCTGATTAAATTCCAAATCAGTGTCTTGCACGGGTTGGAAAAGGCTTGAAGGCGCCATTCATGTTCAGCCATTGGCAAGCTTAGCTTTTGATGTTTATTGGAAATAGGGCTTGCACTACGTACCCCCATGTAGCCAATCCCAATTATTCTGCCCCAAATTTGTATAATATTGGTAATACAAGTAGTAATCTGATAATCGATTAGTCCCTCCTGCGTAGCACCTGTACATTGCTAACTAAATTGCTACCATCTATTATTTTGAGCACAGATCCCCCATCTATTAGAGTTTGTAAACCAAGTGTCAGTAATAACCAAACAGGGGCTGGATTTCGATTATGTTTACCATGGAGTTTGGTTGGTAGCTTCGACGATTCCTCGAGCTTCGAATGGAAGAAGATTGTGGGTCGCTGCCATATTGTAATTGCAAGTGGTGCTGGCGCTGGCTATGTCGCCGCTGCTGCTGCTTGTGTTTTTAGTTGTAAAGGATGAAGAGAAAATATGATTTTGATCATTTTGTGTAAGTTTAATGGAGTTACCCTTTTGTACTTGTATTGAGTTTGTGGGAGAATGAATTTGGCGACTTTGTTGGCCATGCAAAATTGTTACATGAATTTCTGAGGTCATTCGCGTTTTGTTTCTCAATCTCAATGTGGCGTATATTTTCTGAGGTCGCCAAAAATATCAGCACCACCACGCAAAATAAGGAACGATGCAGCGTCTTCAACCAAAATCTTTCCATCTCCGCTGTTTTTTCTGTTGCGATCTCCATTCTCAAAGCGTCAAGATAAAGTCATCGCATTCTTCGTATTCGTCTTCTTCTTTGAAATACGCGCCTTGGTCTGGTCTCGAAGCTTGGAGGGAGAGCCCTCTCAACGAGAGTCGATTTTGGGGGCTCAATGGACCCGAGCCTCAGCCTGTGGTTGAATCATCTACTGGATTTCTCCATGACGGTCGAATTGAATCGGCTTCGTCTCTTGCGGAGCTCGGCGCGTTGGTTCTCTCTACCAGTGACCCTTTGAGCAAGTCCAGGCTCTCTCATCTTGCTTTCTCCAGGTGGTCTCAGAAACGTCTCCCCATTGGTGTTTCCGAAGCTCCTCCTCCTCCTTCGCGTCCTCCTGAGCCGAAATTGGTTCGTTTTTTTATGTTATATTCCGGCGGATGCATTTCTTTACCTGTTTTTATAAGAAATTTTTACTCTGTTTATTTGAACTTGCTCGGGGTGATGAATTTGGTCATGCTTCGATTTCATTTCACCACCTTCAAGAAGAAATGTTATTTCAAGAATGGTTTGTGAAGTTGTCTCGGTTACAAAATCCAGGTCTCCCCGAAGGAAATTCCGGCTCCTAAGAACTCGGGGTTGCCTCTGAATGCTTATATGCTACACAATCTTGCTCATGTGGAGCTTAATGCAATTGATTTGGCGTGGGATACTGTTGTTCGATTTTCTCCCTTCAGTGAAGTTCTCGGGGAGGGGTTTTTTGCCGACTTTGCTCATGTTGCTGATGATGAGAGCCGCCATTTTACATGGTGTTCACAGAGACTTGCTGAACTTGGATTCAAGTGAGGAGACCATAAACCTTTGGCGTGTAATAGTTGATATTTATTCGTTATACTCACCTTGATTACATTGGCACAAGATATGGAGATATGGCTGCTCATAATTTGCTTTGGCGGGAGTGTGAGAAATCATCAGATAATGTGGCTGCGCGCTTGGCAGCAATACCGCTTGTCCAGGTAAACTTGTGTCCATGCTTGTGGTTACTTGTTCGTTTTTTTTTTGTACAATGCTTGAAATCCTTGAATCTGCCATTATTCTTCTTTTGATAATCTAGAATTTAATACGTGAATGTGGAAGGTTTTAACAGTACTTAGGAGAATGAAATTTTCTTTGGCTGGGTCCTCCTTTTGTAATATGCAAATGGTGTAGTATTAAAATACTTTCTTTGCACTCGATTAAAACACGAGCTCAACTACATTACACATTTACCTTCTCCCTTAGCTGGTGTATGTAGGGAGGAGCTATGGCTATTAAATTTTTTCTTTGGTGAATTTTGTGAACATTTGGAGAGTTTTTTAAGCATCTTTAGTTCGTATAAGTTTTCCCTTCCTGATTTGAGAGATTTCTTGACTTTTTGCTTTTACAATGTTTGGTCAATTCTAAATTCTTCAAGGAAGTTAGATATGTAGATGGAACATGTTGGTTAAGAAAGACCTTTGATTATCATGGATGGTTTGTTGGCATTACCATCTTGTGTAATGAAGGGGTAAGAAGGAACCATCATGGCCTCGTGGTCAATAAGGGCCAATGTAAATAGTAAAGAACTTAAAAATGAACGAGGTCAAACCATGGTAGCCTATCTAGGATTTAATATATCCTACGACAATCAAATATAGTCGGAGTAGACAATTGTCCTATAAGAGTACTCGAGGAATGCACAAGTTGGCTAAGACACTCACGGATATTAAAAAAAAAGGGTAAGAAGGAAGACTATTGTCCCCTGAGGGTGAAACAATAGGAATGTAAAACTTTTTGGGAGCATTTTGGTGAATCCAAAGGGAGGGATAATGAAGAAAATCAGAGGTTAAGAGGTGAAAAAATCAAGGGGAACAGTAAATTTTCGGAAAAGGAAATAAAAATATCCTTTGCCCAGGGGTGAGCAAAGGAATTCAGAGGCTCGGGGGTCAAAATTTTGATGAATGGGATAAAGGAGTATTGGATCAAAGCCATAAAGGAAGAAAAGAAAGGGAGAGGTTTAGAAAAGGAGAGAGAATTTGCGGATATGGAGTGGGAGGGACATTACCACTGTACTAAACTGTATTTATATGATGATCGACAGTTGACACTCACTCTTCTATTGAAGCACGAGGTAATAGATTGTTGTATGTCAACCCTGTTCCTTGCCGATAACACTTTCTTCAGATGTTCCAGTAAGGCTTTGTTCAGATGTTAGTGCAAAATCGTGAAGCCAGTAAGAGAAGATAACGGTACATTTAATAATAGACCACCAATATTTGTTTTCTCATTAAAGTTCACAGGTAACAGATTAGAAGCAGTGGGAAATGAAGAGAAGAGGTGAGTTTTAGGGAGTTAGGATAGGATATGAGGAGATGGGCAAATTTTGGAGTACAGATTTGGGAGTGTACCAAGCCTCTTGAAGAGCTTGGGAACTTGTATTTCTTTTGTCTTTTTTAATAAAAAGCATATTATCTTCTTCTGGTTCCCGTCACTTAACTTTTCTCATATAAAAAATGCATATATGTACTTAATATCACATTCTGTAGGAGGCAAGAGGACTTGATGCTGGGCCTCGACTGGTGAAGAAATTAATTGGCTTCGGGGATCATAGAACATCTGATATTGTAGCTAGAATTGCCGATGAAGAAGTTGCACATGTAGCTGTCGGTGTCTACTGGTTTATCCTAGTCTGTCAGAAAATGGAGCGTGCTCCATGCTCCACTTTTAAAGGTTCATATCCACCATTCTTTCATTTAAATAATACAAGTCATAAAGGCCGCAATGTTAGATTTTTCTCTGGAAGAATTTCAGTACTCAGCATAGTACTTACTCTCTCCATTCACACAATTCTTCTGTTGGACCCCACATCATTTGTAAATTATGCCGACGTAGCTAGAACAAATGAGAGCAGAACGACGGTATTGGAAAATTTTCCAGTTTTTCTCCGATAACATCTTTGGTGGTATCAATGCAGAGTTGTTAAAAGAATACAATGTGGAACTAAAAGGGCCTTTCAATTATTCAGCTCGAGATGAAGCTGGCCTTCCACGTGATTGGTATGAAAACTTCCAATCTTGGTTTATAGTTCAATTTTTCTCAACCCAACTTTTGCTCAGTCGTTTCTCCAGCTATTAATTTTTATGACATATATAGTAATATATACTGCTGCCTGTTCTTTATAGGTATGACATATCAAACACAAACGTGCAGGATGAGACAAGTCGAGGTGCTAAAAATGAACAGCTATCTGTGGTACATAGCCTCCTTAATCTTACTATGAGAACCACGTATAAGTGTCTGTGTTTCATTTTTTTCATTAGTGAATATTTGGTATCACATGTTATTTCAGGTTTATGATAGGCTTGCTACTGTAATATCCATGGAGAGTAAAAACTCGAGTTTGCATTCAGAATGAGTTGTGTGATCAGCCATCATAATCCGGGTTATTGGAATGTACATCGCCATCGCTGTTATTGCATGCTGCATGGCTAAGAATCGATAACGTTTAATGGTACTGGATTACAGTTTCATATGGTTAGCTTCCTGTTTTATCTGTCATCAAGATCAAGAGCTGAATTCATCCCCATACTGATTTAGACCTGCTGCTTTAGAATCTCTAAAGCATCATTTTTGGTCCAACTTTGGAAGTTTTGGTTAGAAACATTTGAAAAGGTGAAAATAAGCACAACTTAGAAACTCTTGGATAACTATTATGTTTTTAGTTTTCTACTTTTTAATATTATGCATACTCCCCTTCCTCTCAATTTCTTTAAAATACTTTCGTCATTCTTACAAACACATTTGAATTGGCAGTCAAATTCCAAAAGCAAGACAAGTTTTTTCTAAAACCACCTTTTTTAGTTTTAAAATTTGACCTAGATTTTGATAACATTTTTAAAAAAAATCAAAGAAACACAAGCTAAATTTTCAAAAACATAAATGAAAAATAAAATAGTTATAGAAAAGGTTCCTTCAATTTTATGGAAGTGAATTAATCTACTTGCCTTTGGTTCCATGATGGATATTTTTACGTACTTTTTTCAATATACATGTCGAAATTTTCTTCTCGAGGTAGTTTTCTTATACTTCAATTTTTATATGCCAAATACGATATATTGAAGCACTAATTTCACGACGAGCATCGAAGTTTGACAGTCTCATGCGAACATTCACCAAACACTACAAATCTATGAAATGGAGGAAACCAAAATGATGTTGAAGAGTTGTGATTTTTGTTGGTTACTCAAAATTTCCAAGAAGACGACTTGCGTTTGCAATCACATAAGACTCCTTTTGATTTGCGACCAATCAATTTTGAAGCCCCCCAGTTTGGAATTCTCTCTCGGATAAAATTAATGTCCTTTTTCAACCACTAGACAAGTATTTCGAGACAACCAATAAAAAAGAGTCTCCTTTCTAACAAGTATTTCAAATCAACATTAATTTTTTCTGTTTTTCTTTTTAATCTCAGTTTTCACCCCGTTTGAGGGATAATTGATTTTGACTCTCTTTCTTACAATGCAAAAACTTGTCCAAATATTCCTTCATGGTGGTCACCGACATTAAAAATTAATTTTTATATATTTTCCAACATCAAATGTTGTAGGATTAAACCATAGTTGAACCGTGGATATAAAAGAAAGAAAGAAAAAAAAAACATACCCAAATGTTCCTAAAACAAAAGTCAGTGTGGATCGTGTTCTTCATTTTTTACTCGAATCAAATGGACGATTCCAACCACAAGATAAAGTACCAATGATATAGAAATGAAAAGATTTGGGAAATACAAATTTCAATATAAAAAAGCAATTTTTATTGGGAAAACAAACCTTTCCGTCGTCTTTCAGGTCTTTGCTTTGTGCAAAAGTCATATAAGATAAGCCGCTGTTATACTCCTTGACCCGATTGCTTCGCTGTACAATTCAATTTTGTCCAATCCCTCGAATAAAATAAACATAAAGTGTCAAGAATCTGGAACAAACATAAACCAATTGAAAACAATCACACAACTCTCAGCATCTTCTTCTCTAATCTTGAGCAGAAGGATTCGATCACCGCCAAGGGAGAAATTACCAACAAGATGTGCTGCGATGGCGATTGTCGCCCACTGGGCTTCCTGCTTGGCTTGCCTTTTGCTTTCCTTTCTCTTCTCCTCTCCATCGTCGGCGTACTTGTCTGGATTGTCGGGTAAATTTCTCCAAAACCCACAAAATTTTGGCTTCTGGGTGTTCGTAATTCGGGTTTTTCCCCCTCCCAAATCCGTTCTACTTTTCATTTATTAATCGATTCGTGAGTCGTAACTGTTTTCTCTTTGGAATTTTGTGCGCAGATTGATGCTTACTTGCATATGTCCCTGTTGTTTGTGCTTGACGGTGATAGTGGAGCTCGCCTTGGAGCTGATCAAAGCCCCGATTCACGTCATGGAGTGGTTCACTTCCCAAATTCCATGTTGATTGTTCATATTTTTCGACGAGGAAAGTGGTGAAGCATTATAGTTTGTAATTAATTATCTTGTTTCTGTAAAATTTGCATCTGATATGAACACTTAGTATGGGTTTTCCCCGTCGCTGATTGATTCTGTTCGTCTTTTCATGAATTTTTTTTGTTAGTCTCAGTGAAATAGGCTTCCACTCGATTGTTTACTGCCTTATGAATAAATCAATATAGAATCGGAGTTCTCTCTTTTACATAATCTCTGGATGCAAATTTTATTCCCAATAAGTTGGTTTTCTGATTTCTGAGGCAACTAGAACAGAAATCTATGTATACATTGTATTTTTTTTCCACTCCAAAAGGGCAGAAACAGTGCTTAACGCTTATCATCATCATCATCTTTCTCATGGTCTTCAAGCTTCCAAAAGCCATCAACTTGTTGTACCATTCCTTTGTTTTGGGCACACCACCATGAGGAAGGCACCAGATACTCATCCTTGAGAGCATCCAAAAATTTGTTCACTCGTGCTATGTCCCTCTTCACTTCCAAACGAAAACCACCTTTGTTTCCCTGTGTTCCTGCCACCCCATGAAGATAAACCTCTAAAGAATGCCAGCTCTTGAAGTCTCCAGGGCTCTTCAAGTATTTCGACTTTCGGGTGTCGATTACCAGCTCCTCTCCGACATCCACGTAACCCAACAGAGGGTAATCTGGTACTACGTCGGCTGTGTTCCGAGTTCGCAGGAGATGAAGACTCTTCATGGAATTACAGCACTTTCTGAAGTTATAGTCTCCTACATGTGGACTGGCAAACAAGAAAGCTGTAACAAGGCAGAGTTTCTGGGGTTGTTTTTTCAGCTTATTTATCCCATTTGCAATAATGTCTGCTGCATTCAGGGTTCCAAGGGCAGCACCTAAACTGTGTCCTGTTATAGTTATACTGATCTCTTCATCTTGATATTCTTCCACTAGCCTCACAAGTTCAGATAGAACCTGAAAAATTAGAACATAGAATGTAGTTGGTGATATCAGTTATTGGGAAAATGATATAAATGGAAGTGTTGAAATTCACCTGATGCCTTGCGCTGTTCGGGTTATACGGTGATCGAGAATCTTTAGAAGTGTAAATGGAAAGCCAGCCTTTGTGAACCATAGAATCATTAGCTTCTCCAAATAGTCTTGAGGCAGGAACCAGAGGAAAATCAAAGTCGTTTACCCATTCCAATGCTTGTATTGTTCCTCGCCAAGCAATTACAATGTCCCTCCTTCCCAACATGCTCTTTCCCTCATCCGTTGCAACTGCGATGTACCCCATCCAATTGGACTCTTTGTTCCAAGCTTCCCTCGACAGAGACTTCACTAAAAACGCTTCTGAAACTTCAATCTCTGAAGTTGCATAGAAGAATTTGGTGATATTGAACTTGTATGGATTGGCTATGGCTAAACCAACTCTGGAGAAGAGATCCTTCCTTGCATAATGGCTGTCCCCGGCGAATTTTGACACCTTCTCCGAATTGAAACTGTCATATGTTGCCTGAGCCATATCTCCATAGTGAAGAATGCATTGCCGAAGATCGACATCCAAAGGGTCCAAGAGGTTCTTCCAGTTATCCTCCCCATTGAGCGACCTCCATCTTCTAGCTATATTACCTATCATTTTCTAAAAAATCCCACTCTCTCAAGTTGAAAATGGCTTCTTATTCTGTGTTGATTTCTGATGAATACAGATAACAATATGGCTAAAAAGTGTGTTTCGGTAGGTAATAAAAAGTTGGGCACCAAAAACGCCATGTTCCCTTTCAGATCATCATTTTCGTCATCTTTTATCAGTAGGTAGCTAACATGCTAGAATTAGGTCAGTGATTGAATTTTCATGCTCTCACCTGGAACTTGCAGATGCACATGAACTTGAAATTAGCTAAAAAGTTGTATGATCCTTCCCCTTCAGCCTTCTTTACATATGACGGTTGGCCTGTAATAATGACATCGGCAATATAAATTAACATGTGAAGTTAAATTTGTTGTTTAAATATTGACAATAACAGATGTTTGAGAAAAAAATTTCAAATTTCATGCTTCGGATTATATGTTTGATCATAGTATCCATATTCTTTTCTATGTTTGTTTCGCTAATACGATTTAAATGCATGATCATCGAGGAACTTATGCTAATTGTTTATACATTTCATAAATTCAGATACTCTCTTTAAATTCATGGATTTGTCGACTGTTTCTTGAACAATGTACCAGACTTTCCTGCCAAAAAGTTGAAGATGAATCACCCCTTTCAGCTGTTTCTTAAAAGAAAGTCAAAGATGCTGCATAGTATGATTAGTTGACTCTAAGCCTGATGAAGCAAGTAATAAATCATGCTTTTGAAGACAATTACTTAACATTTGTTGTATCTAACTCTGCACCCACCACACCAGAGACTGGAGTTAAGGAGATAAGCTTTACCTAAATCTTGATCTATTTGCTGCTGCTTGAGCAGTTGCTATTCAAGTGGTTTTAGTCAACCACTCTACTACTACTTTCTCTGAATCTCTCAAAGATAATTTGTTTCATTTTCTGATTTTGACATAATTTCTAGCACACTGAGTATTTAAAAATGACCATTATCAAAACCTTTGGTTCCAAATTTCACCTAAAAGTGACTTGCCCCACCAACATTTCTCAAGTGGGATGCAAATTCTCAAAGGGTATTCAGGCATTTTTTGACTAAAACTTGCCCACTTCTTACAAACTTCTAGTGGCTCAATATACTTGCCTCGTACTCCTGACCAACTCCCAAAATAACGTAGTTTCTCATTGCTTGTGAGAAGTAGAGGTATCAAGCAATGGACAACAGCTTCCCCATTAATCAGAGATGGAAGCTTTGCACATTTACAAGCTTGACGAGCATCATTATCCTAGTGTTATTGCTTGGTCAAGACCATGGGACCCTGAACTTTTTGACTTTTCGAAGCTCGACCTCGACCTCGACCTCGTCGGTGGCATCATCATTCAATCTCGTAGACTCTTATGTTGCAGCTAACATTCAGTTGCGGTCCAATGATTCTTCACTTCTAAGTGAGGATGATAAGCATGAGAAGAAAAGCTGCAACATCTTTGATGGCAAATGGGTTTATGATCCTAAGGCAAGTCCTCTCTATGATCAAACAAAGTGTCCATTTCTTAGTGACCAAGTTAGCTGCCGAAGGAACGGCCGACACGATTCCGACTATGAGAAGTTGAACTGGGAAGCCACTGGGTGCAAGATTCCCAGGTGAGCATAAAGATCAGCTCTTCATTTCAATCTCTCTTCTATTTCCATTTCATTTTGATCCAGCACCCATTCATTGTCGCGCCAAATCAGCTACTAATAGTGGTACTAAAGTTAATTAATACCATAAACTTTGAAGGTTTAATAGCAAAGACATGTTAGAGAAACTCAGAGGAAAGAGAGTGATCATAGTTGGGGACTCACTTAACAGAAACCAATGGGAATCTCTTGCTTGTCTTCTCTACTCTGCTTTACCTCCCTCACAGGTCCATGTTGATGTAAAAATTGGCAGCTACAAAGTCTTCAGAGCAAAGGCAGTGAGCTGAGCTTTTCCATGTACATCTTCTTGTACTTTCAGATATCATAATGTCTTTGAAGTAACGATATCTGATACAAACCTCAGGATTACAACTGTTCTGTGGAGTTTTTCTGGAGCCCGTTTCTGGTGGAACTAAAAGTCGACCAGGAAAATGGTGCCAGAATACTGAAGCTTGACAAACTCTCGGCTATGTCGCATAAGTGGCGTGGTGCACATATTATGGTGTTCAACACTGGTCATTGGTGGGTGCATCAGGGGAAGTTACAGGCGTAAGTACTTTTGAAAATTATGTTACATAATAAGAGCGCACACTAATATGACTTACTTGAGCAATCAGAGCTCAAGTATTTAAGCTTTTGATATTGAACAGATTTCATCTCTGAGAAACCAAGAAGTAAAGTGATTCAATAATAGGTGAATTTTGCAGGTGGGACTACTTTCATTATGATGGGAAGATGGTAGAAACAATGGAGATGGAGTTGGCACTTGAGGCAGCCATGAAAACCTGGTCAAATTGGATTGATCAGAATGTGGATACCAATAAAACCATGGTTTTCTTTAGAAGTATATCACCAGAACATAAGGGGAAGCAGTGGTGCTACAATGAAACCCAACCCATCTCAGATGAGTCCTACCAAGCGATTTTCCCTGAGCCATTAATTGAAGTTGTTGAGAGAACAATACAGAGAATGAAAACCCCGGTACGGTATTTGAACATAACAAAGCTATCCCAGTATCGAAGAGATGCGCATCCATCGGTTTATGCAAAAAAGCTAGGCAAGCTATCCCTAGCAATGAAACAGAGAAAAGAAGAGATCATTGCTGATTGCAGCCATTGGTGTTTGCCTGGTTTGCCTGATACTTGGAACAGGCTCTTGTATACTAACATTGTATCAAACTTCTCCTAATAGTACTTGTGAAACCATTGTTATCCATGACTGGAGGTTGAGACTTGAGAGTGGAGATTCATCACTATGCCTCTTCACTAGTTTTAACTACTTTTCGCCAGCTTCTGTGGCCAGAAAACCTTTTGTTTTCACAATGTCAATTTCAGACAGCATTCGACTTCAAGTAAAACATATCATTGTCAATCACAATTTCAAGATCAGGACTGATTCAATCACGAAATTCTTCACATTTCCAATCAAGACTTCTAACTGATAGTTATAAAAGGCGAAAAAACTGTCTGAGATGGTAACATCCGTTCAACAAGGAGGTCCATCTGAATCTTTTTGCAAATCGAAAATTGATTTCTCTTCCTAGTAATTCCAGTGTGTTGACAAGTTTACTTCTTCAGTTCAGTGTTTGTTGCTAGAAAATTTGGTGATCTCATGGACGTACAGCCCCACTTTTCTCCACCACAATGCAGTTACACCACCTTTCATTGTATTTCTGCCAAATTTGACTCGGGCAACTGGCCCAAATATATCACTGTGACGTTGATTCCACATCAAAGCTGCCATCTTTGGAGAGACTGCAACCATGTTAAATCATCTACAAAGCAGCAATGTATTATGAGAATATCTGTCTGAAATGCCAAAAAAACAAGTTTTGACCTTTTCCGACTCCTCCACGAAGAATGTTGGCAAGAAGACACTTCTTACCTTACCACTATTAAATGAGACAACGTAAGACATAAATGCATTACTCATATTTATGATTAAGATTGAAGCTGCATGACCAAGTGTTGAAAGCTTCCCTTCACATGGGGTTGAGCAAAATTGTTCTGAAGTTCTTTTACTGAGTCAAAAATCTCACCTGAAAAGCATTGAGTACCTCTTCAGCTTGATGAAACTACCATGCAGTAGAAAAAGGCAACTTCCTAATGAAGTAACTGCCCCATCCAGCCTTATTTAGAGGTCGTTGAACCAAAATGCTTCCCATGCTGTTTAAATGACTCAAGCCCACAGCTTAGAAAAAAGGCAACTTCTTAAAATATGCTTCTGCTATAAGAGCTATTTCTAAGCAGACCTTCTTGCTTGAATTCTTTACAATTCCTACCTTTGACGTGCTATAACTCTCCCTTTTGTATTTTCAATGGGATTGCCGATCAAGACAGCTAACTTCAGTTGCCAGGATACCTCGTATAGAATCAAGACCAAGGACATTTCTTATAGACTACCTTGCCAAATGAACAATTTCGGTTGTGGGTTCTGCAGAGGAAGGCAAAAAGATTCCTACATTTTGAAGAATGTAAACTGTGAAGCTGGGCCAGGAGAGATCACAGCCATTGCTGGTCCTAGTGGGGCTGGAAAGACGACATTGTTGGACATTCTTGCAGGCATGATCCCGCTTAGCAAAGTCTGTGGCCACGTCCTCGTGAACGAAATGGAGATGAATGCGAAGCATTTTCGAAGAATCTCTGGCTACGTCATCCAAGAGGATGATCTTTTTCCTCTTCTTACAGTAGAAGAGACCCTTATGTTCAGCGCTCGTTTGAGGCTGTTTGGTGAGATCAACAAGGTCAAAGCCAGAGTGAGGGAGATAATTAAGGAGCTTGGTCTCGAGCATGTCGCTAACGTAAGAGTTGGTGATGCATCAAGCCGAGGCATTTCAGGAGGCGAAAAGCGAGGAGTTTTGATTGGGGTTGAATTGGTTCACGACCCTGCTGTTCTTTTGTTAGATGAACCAACTTCAGGACTTGATTCTACCTCGGCTCTTCAAGTAGCCTTGCTTCTAAAAGCCATGGCCACAAATCAAGGCAAAACCATTGTTCTCACCATCCACCAACCTGGCTTCCGTATTCTTGAACTTTTTGATCAAATTCTGCTGCTAGCCAAAGGGAATGTTCTTCACCAAGGCTCCCTCGACCTCCTCGAGCAGCGACTCCGACAATCAGGTCATTCCATTCCTAGACATGTAAACGTAGTCGAATTCGCCATTGAAATCACAGAAGCCCTCAAAGTCGACACCGAAGAAGAGACCGAAGTCGAAAACAACAAGAAAACAAAGCCAAATCCGGGTAATCTTGAAGAACATAGCAACAATCCCATCTTCATAAACACAATAGCTAATGAAATTCTAATCCTGAGCCAGAGATTCTGCATCAACGTATTCCGAACAAAGCAACTCTTCTTCTCAAGAACAATACAAGCAATGCTAATCGGGTTTGTACTAGGAACAATTTTCACAAACAGCCCCGATTCAAAGAACCTAAAATTACAAACCCAACTGGGATTTTTCGCCTTCACCGTCGCATTCTTAATGTCAGCCTCAACAGAAGGTCTACCAATTTACCTACAGCAGAGGAGAATTCTAATGAGAGAAACTTCAAGAGGAGCTTACAGAGTATGTTCTTACGTTATAGCAGATACCCTCGTTTTCCTGCCTTTCCTGCTAACAGTAGCTCTTCTCTACGCCATTCCAGTTTACTGGTTGGTCGGATTGAAGAGGGAAATTCTAGGGTTCCTCTATTTTTCCCTCGTCGCTTGGATCGTTGTCTTGATGGCGAATTCGGTCATCGCCTGCTTCAGCGCTCTGGTGCCCAACTTCGTAATCGGAACTTCTCTGGTTGGAACTGTTGTTGGGTCTTCGTTTCTGTTCTCTGGGTATTTCATTTCGAGAGAGGAAATCCCCAAATACTGGATTTTCATGCATTACTTGAGCTTGTTCAAGTACCCATTTGAATGCTTTGTGATAAACGAGTACGGAGGAGAGGGAGAGAAGAGGAGGTGTTTGATCAAAGAAGAGGGAATTTGCATTCTGTACGGCTACGAGTTCTTGAGGAACAGAGGTCTTAGAGAGTCACAGAAATGGAGTCATTTGGGTATTATGTTGAGCTTCGTTCTGGGTTACAGAGTGCTCTGTTTTCTCGTTCTGTGGTATAGATCTCGGACGGCAAGAAAATGAAGCTTTAAATTGGTTTGATTCAAGTTCATCAATGGTGTATCTTAAGAAACTTCTGCAGTTCATTCCATTCTCCATGTTTATGTATGATGAAAGACGCGAAAAAGAGAAGAATGAAACAGATACATGTTTGATATTTCTTATGAATTCCTTCATATGGGAATTTTTGACGAACAGTTCGATGCTTCAACTCTTTCGTTGGATTGTGGAGATGAAAATTTTGACGCCATCACACGTCAAGATTCGTTCTTATGGGATTTCTAAAGAACGGAGTTCCGACGGTTTTAGTTTCAGAAATTTGCCGTTTTTAAGCGAAGTATGCAAAGCTCAAAAGTTTCTAGTTCTAAGTCAATTTTATTCAAAATTTTCAAATTCCGCCGTGAGCGGTGGCAACATAACGAGCAACCTAGGTCAAACTATACTGCTGCATAAAGATAAAGATTCAATTTTTAATCTGTTGGTGATAATAATTAATATATGCTGAATGGAACCATATTCATGCTATTTGTTGATAATTTTTAAAATAATTTAATTCAATTTTAACTCTCGACTATGTTGAACAACATGAACCTAGTTTAGTGTTAATTGATATATATTCGAGATCAGAAAGAAAATTAAAAAACGATACTATTTTTCTTATTATTATTTTTTGATATCCGTGAGTATCCGAACCAACTTGCACGAACTTCGACTAATGTCACGGGACAACCGCCTAACCTTGATGTCGAAAAAGAAGTGGTAATTACTAATTCTTAAGGTAAATGACCATCATGGTAAAATGATACTATTATTTCTTACACAAATTTTATTTATTAATTATCTAATAAATTATTATTATTATCATTATTATTTGAGAATAAGATAACTTTATTACGAACTAACCAAACCCATTACAGGATGCAAAAGTGAAAGAAGCTATCTTATGGACTGCCTCGTTTGCAGATCGAGCGTGTGTGAAGGAAGAGAATCTGGGTAAATTTCTTGGCCAAAGAATAAATATCTTCAACCCACACACTTGTTTCGCAATGATTACATATTCTTCTACACTTATACGATTGAGGTACCCCTAAACACTACGGGAAGCTGCTGCTATGATTTTCCCTTGATTATTTCTACCACCAACACCTACTCTAGTTCTTGCATGGTTCTTCTTACCGACAGTGTCTACATTAAACTTAACCCAGCCTACCGGTAAAGGTGACCACAGGTTTTCAACAGAATGAGGGGGGTTTATATTGCTACCAGCACGAGGTGAACCATGACTGGTTTTGAACTCCTTCACATCGGTAAGAATCAAATCACTTATGATCTTAACATCCATAATTTATTTGTGGACTCTGACCGCATTTCGATCATTCCAGATTGCCCAAACTCGAGTTCCAACCAACTCAAAATCTGACTTACAAAGCGTCTCCATCAAATATATCAATCTTGCTTGGACAGAATTTCCAAAATAGCCTGAGGTAACAAACTGTGCCATATAGTAAAAGAATATGATCTGAAGTTTCAACATGCTTTCTACCTATTAGTCAAAACGGATTTGCATCAATCCCTTTCTTTGCTAGATTCCCCAAAGTAGACACACACTCAGTAAACCCTCTCCAAGAAGCATCTTTACTTTAGGCGGAATTTTAATTGTCCAAACAAAATTCCACCATTTTTCGTATTATTGGTAGGTTAAAAAATACATTTAGTCCATGTACTCTCACTAAAGTAACAATTTAGTCCCTAAATTTTTGTTTGTAATGATTTAGTCTCTATACTTACACTAAAGTAACAATTTAGTATCTAAACTTTAACTTGTAATGATTTAATCCTTTAGTTCAGAATTTGTAATAATTTAGTTCTTATTGTAAATTTTTTTATTATAATTAAGTGTTAAATTTTATCATATAACAATTTAATATTTCTAGTTACAAACATATTTCGTCTCTTTTTGGTTTATCTATCTATATATATAAGAAACTTAACMAAAAAAAAATTTAAGGTAAGGACTAAATCGTTACCAACTTAAATTACAATGGTTAAATTGTTATATATTAAAGTTCAAGGACTAAATTGTTGCAAACTTAAGTTGAGGGACTAAAAGTGATTTTTAACCGAATTATTATTATTATTATTATTTTGAAATGAATCTGATAAGTTATAACCTAAAAAATAAACACTATTAAATGCTCATTATTCCAAGGTTGAAATCAATGTTGAATAATATATTATTTAATTTAATTTTTGAAACAATTGTATTTCTGTATTCGAACTGTAACTTTTATTTCATTTTTGTGGTATAATTGACATATGCTATACTCTGATAACTTTTTACATATTACTTTATTGATATTTTATCATTTCACGAAACGTAAAGTTGACACGTGGATGGTGGATATTTTACGCGAGACTTACGATCGTTAGAATGCGCAGCTTCAGGCCCTATTAAAACCCTGTAATCTCCACTTTGTTGCTCATCCCCACTTCTCGCTGACTCATCAATGGCGGCCGCCACATCTTTCTCCCCCGCTATCTCAGCCTCATCATCCAAAACCCTAAAGAAGGCTGCTCTCAAGCCCCCGGCTCCGGCCAGCTTAGGGTTCTTGTCGTCATCTTCTTCCATGGGATCGAAGGCTCTCAAGGCTGTTGGCGTCAGTGGTGCTAATGCCGACGGCTCGGCTCTTGGTGCTCGCATGGTGTCCGTGCCTGCGATTAAGCCCTTAACTTCGCTCGATTTTGACACATCTGTCTTCAAGAAGGAGAAAGTCAATCTCGCCGGCCACGACGAGGTTTTTAGTCTGTTGTTCATTTGTTTGTTACTGGATTATTGAGTGTTATATGGCGTTGGGGGAAGTGAGTTGAGAGTGAGTGTGAATAGGTTAACGTGCATTCATCTCCTAAGATCTGCATGCGTTTTCTTAACATATCTGGAACGTTCTGCTTTGGGGTCTTGAAGTATGGCATTTCTTGACGGAAATGTTTTTGGATTGGGAATTAGAGTTCAGTTGTACCATTTCTTATTGTTTGCCTTCGGCTTGCAGTATATTGTGAGAGGAGGTAGGGATCTTTTTCCCTTGCTGCCGGAAGCATTCAAGGGGATCAAGCAAATTGGTGTCATTGGCTGGGGTTCTCAGGTAATGTTATCTCACACGGCGTCTTTCTTCCGCAATTTTATATTTGTCATTTTTTGTTGCCTCCATATTTTGATGGTAAATAACAGTCCAATGGGTTGAGTAAATTGCTACGCTATATATATATATATATTTTTTTTTAATTTGAAATCATAAACCGCACATTTGGAAATCGTTTGTTTTACCTTAAGAGTTTATTTTTCTGTTAATACTAATAGTAAAAAATTGATGTGATATTTTACGTAATGAAGGATAAACTGGAAAACTATATTTTAAACTTTCAGCCTGCTTGCTTAGATTATCTTTGTCACGTAAGCATCTCCATTGTTATTTGCTAAAATGTTATGCGATAAAAATTAAAATGTGTAATTTCCTACGGACTAGTGGCGAGTCAACTAAGTGACAAACAGGGTACTAAAAATTTCATTTTTATAACGTAACTTTTTCAGATGTGTTAAGGAGATTATAGTTTTGAATTTTTTTGATAAATTTAGCTGATGCGTGCATCTTAATGTAGCGTGTGAGTATGGTCTAGTTCAATAAAAAAAATTTCCTGAGAAAACGAGATTATAGTATTGTTTAATTGACAGTGTTGTTGAGGTGAGCCCAGGTGCTCTCCTATGGTCTGGTGAGGTGAGACCTCAGCGCCTTGAAGGTGTCCATGGCAAACACCTTCAACGGGGCCATGCGCCATTTAGTGCCATCTCCATTAAGCAAGGCGAGTGACTTAGATGGGTACAAAGGGTTGTCTTAAAAAGGAAAAAAAGGGTTAAAGTTAGAATAATAAAAGGAAGAGTCGAAAAATGAAGAAAAAGAATGAGAATGAGAAGAAGTGACAGAATTGAAGAAGAAAGAGAAAAATAATTAGAAGAGACAGAAGAGGAAGAAGGAAAAAAAAGGGTGATGGCTGCTGCATGCAGCATTTTTTCTCCATGTTAGACAGATGACGATTCTCTTATAAATAAAAGTCTCGCAGTATTTTCCATGATTAACAGATGGCAGGAAGTTGTATTGGTGGCCAGGAGGTCGTATCTAAAGTTTTGTTTAATCTTTAGTCGTAACACTATCTTTTTTTAACCATATTAAAAAAAAAATCTCTATTATCTTTTTTCCTGAAAATCTCTACTTTTTCCTAATTATTATTTAAGTAAATTTTAATATAAATATTAAATAGTTTTGTCAATAAACTGAAGTATTTGTTTTTTACCTATACTTATTATGGATAATACTTATTTAGTATTTTATTAGGTGCATCTTGCTTCACTTAGGCGATGCCTTTTTGTCACCTCTCATCTTGAGGTGATTAGAAGACTTGCTGCCATAAGGTGCGCCTTGCGCTTTGAAAACATTGATTTTTGAGAGACATTCAGATGCATCTGAATGTAGCATGTGAATATAGCTCTAGTTCAATGAAACTTTTTCTTGAGAAAAGCATTCTGGATCTTTACTTTTTTCTCAGGAAGACAGAAATTTTTCTGAGCCTTTTTTATTGATCCTGTAGTGTACTGACCATAGTTTTATGCATGTGCATTCATTTGTTGGATCAGGGACCTGCACAGGCTCAGAATTTGAGGGACTCGCTTGCTGAAGCTAAGTCTGATATTGTGGTTAAGGTGATTTTACTTTTTCGTACATTACAATTTACTCATAAATCTATTGTACATGATTCTTCATTGGAGTGTTTATTTCCTATTGCATTGTAGGTTGTTATGTCGTATTATTGATTAATCACCTGTATAAACGTGTCTTTTCCATGTTGATTTTTGTTTATGCAGATTGGGCTGAGGAAGGGCTCCCGTTCTTTTGCAGAAGCTCGTGCAGCTGGTTTCTCTGAAGAGAATGGGACTTTGGGTGATATCTATGAAACTGTTTCGGGAAGTGATCTTGTCTTGCTTCTGATTTCTGATTCTGCACAGGTCAGTTAGTCAAATTATCTGTACTCTGTTGCTTCTGGAACTATTAGGCTGGAATCAGAGTGTCTGCGCTGGAGTTTCTATAAACTGCTTGTGATAGTAAATATAGATGTATGCTTGGTTGCCTCTATCCTTCTGATATTGAGGACATAATTCTCCCTATATATGTGTGTATCCTTCAATGTAAACTTTCAATTATGGGCAAACTGATGACAACTTTTTCATGGTATATGCATTATATTACCTACTTCTTTCCCTTATGCTTGCCTTCTTTCATGTTTTTGATAAACTGTGAAGTTCTTAATGTTGTTTTACTTTGCAGGCTGATAATTATGAAAAAATATTCTCTCACATGAAACCAAACAGCATTCTTGGGCTTTCCCATGGGTTTCTTCTTGGGCATTTGCAGTCATTGGGGCTTGATTTCCCTAAGAATTTTAGCGTGATTGCTGTTTGTCCAAAGGGGATGGGTCCATCTGTGAGGAGACTTTACGTTCAAGGAAAAGAGATAAATGGTGCAGGAATTAATTCTAGTTTTGCAGTTCACCAGGTAATCTCGCATTCTTCACTTTAAGGTGGATATTTATCAATATACTTGGTTGTTAATTACATACAGTGTACAGGATGTTGATGGTAGAGCCACAGATGTTGCGTTGGGATGGTCTGTTGCCCTTGGCTCTCCATTCACATTTGCTACGTCTCTAGAGCAAGAATACAAGAGTGACATCTTTGGCGAGCGAGGTAAACTCACTCTACTTCTTGACTTCTTGTACCAGTTAAATCTGCATAAATTCTGAATACCCAACTTCTGCTGCTGTGGTCAACAGGCATTCTACTTGGTGCTGTTCATGGAATTGTGGAGTCCTTGTTTAGAAGGTACACTGAAAATGGAATGGCTGAAGAGCTGGCTTATAAGAACACTGTTGAATCCATAACAGGGATTATATCAAAGACCATTTCCACTAAGGTTGTATCTGCTGGCTAGATTTAACTGCAGTAACATTCACACTTGCTTCTTTATTAATGGCTGTTTGTTTTTTATGTGTAGGGAATGTTGGCGGTGTACAATTCTTTCTCTCCTGATGAGAAAAAGGAATTTGAGAAAGCATATAGTGCATCATATTATCCCTGTATGGATATTCTCTACGAATGTTATGAAGATGTAGCTAGTGGAAGTGAGATTCGCAGTGTTGTGCTTGCTGGACGGCGATTTTACGTATGTTGACATTCCTTTTTTTTTTTTCATCGCAGCAATAATATCTGATGAAATCAATAGTTTGTTGTTTAAACGAGCTATTTTACATTGATCTTTTTAGTTCTAGTTGGATAATTGTCGTACTGCTTGTTATACTTCACAACCTTATCTGCTTTTTGTTGGGTTTTTTTTCACATTATAGGAAAAGGAAGGTTTACCAGCTTTCCCAATGGGGAAAATTGACCAAACCCGAATGTGGAAGGTCGGTGAACGTGTCCGCCAAGTACGTCCTGCAGGTGACCTTGGCCCGCTACATCCTTTCACTGCTGGTGTATATGTGGCATTGATGATGGCGCAGGTATGAGATTTCCCTCCTAAACCTTAAACTTTATTCCAGTGCAACTTAAGTGTTCATCAAAATAAAGCAGCTGTCTAACGCATACTTCATGTCAAACTTCTATTTCCAGATTGAGATACTGAGGAAAAAGGGACACTCTTACTCTGAAATCATCAATGAAAGCGTGATCGAATCAGTGGACTCTCTGAACCCATTCATGCATGCTCGTGGGGTTTCATTTATGGTCGACAACTGCTCCACAACCGCACGATTGGGATCACGAAAATGGGCTCCACGTTTTGATTACATTGTCACCCAACAAGCCCTGGTCGCCATCGACAACGGTTCAGCTGTTAACCAGGACCTCATCAGCAACTTCCTGTCTGACCCAGTTCATGGAGCAATTGAAACATGCGCCCAGTTGAGACCTACCGTCGACATTTCTGTTCCACCTGATGCCGATTTTGTTCGCCCAGAGCTTCGTCAGTCTGGCAACTAGAAACTGCCAACAATAGGAGGCCCTTGAATTGAGTTGGTCGATCTCGTCGAAGGAACTGCTGTATGTATCTTTGAATATGTAGCGTTATTTCGATTTTCTTCAAGGTCTAAGTTTAATATCTATGGTAAGTAGTATCAAACTTATGTTACTGAGCTGAGTAGTAGTTAATAAGTTATGTTCTAAAATTGCTGTGGTCATTTTGTTTAAGCTGTTGCTGTGTACACTTGCGGGATCACATCAGAGAACTCTCAGTTGCTACATTTATGTCATCTTAGATTTATCTTCATCATAACTTCCACTCTTGGTACCAGCTTCCCATCCTTTCCGATTCATTCATCACTTCAAAAAAATGTGCTTGGCTTGGAATTTAGGGCATTACGTGGGTTAAATCGGTTTGGTTTGGTTTTTTCATCAAATCAGCCGAACTGGTTAGTTCGGTTGAATGCAAATGGTTACTTGATTAGGTTCAGTTTCTTCCTCCTCCGTTGAGTTTAATGAGCCAAATAAAACTCAAATCCTGCAGCATTAATGGAGATAGAAACTTGGAATTGAAACCCAAGTCAATTTCAGTTGTATCACAATCAACCAGCTCTTGCTCTGACGAATATATCAATTTTCTAGCTGTTTATAAACTCAGAATATGCTTTCATGGTTGCCACGAAAATGATGAATTGGAGCTTCACTTGATGGCCCTACAAGCATGGTATTTCATAGATGTCGTAAGCATTGTTGTCCTACTACACTAACAACAGAGGAACTACGAGTAGTTCGGAGAGACAGAGAGGAGGCTCTTTCATACCCTGTGAAGTTTCACTATTGGGTGGGTAAAAGCTTTGGTCAAGGCTTTGGACTCTTCATTCATCATTCATAACGCGTTGAAACATGGACAGAAAAATCATATAAAATTTTAAATTTGGACTAAAATGATCATCTTTTTCCATATTTTGAAAATATAAATACCAAAATAGTATTTTAACCTTTTCTTTATCTAAGGCTCAGATTTTTTTTTTCTTGAAAGAGTTTTTCATGTAAATTGTAAGTTTAATATTCTTATATTCTTCACATTTTGCCGTCTATATTATGTTGTTTGGTAACAAAAGGCTTAAATGATAAATAATATGAATTACATTTGTCTAATTTTCTCAACTTTATAGTAAGCTAACATTATTGAAATGAGCTATATTGACCACAATTATTGAGAAAATGTTAGAGAGAATCATAATGTATTTATCCCGTATTGATAATTGCTATATTTTTGTTCCACTCAAAGACATGACAAACTTAATTATAAGCTAAACACCAATATAATTTGGGACATGGGAGAGATAAATCAATCAAGTATATAAGGAAGAATAATAATCTTTTAGAATTAATCAAGATTATGGAGCATTGGATCCCATATTAACATGACTAATGCAATCTTATAATAATCATATAATAAGGTAGATATATCATAGCATCATACCATATAATGTATACATTAGAAAAAGTACAAACAATTTTTATTTAATTATTTGATTTTATATATGTTGACAATGGTGAGGCTCACGTTGGGGCTTAGTACTTAGCATTATCTTCCCATTTTTGACATTTGAATTGAAAACTTTATTATATATTGCAATTTATTAAGGTGTGGTGCACTGGAATGTGCTCTAGGCTATGGTAAATTATATATAAATATATATATTGTAATGAGGGAAGAATGAATGATTTGCATCTATAGAATTGTTAAATAAATAGGGAAAATTGTAATTGGCCCACAACTTTATTTGAATAAAAAAGAGGGCTCTGATTTGAGGCATAAAGGGCTAATAAATAAAGCCTAGAGCTAACTGTCCTCATTAAGTAGCACAACTTTTCTTTATTTGTATATTTTTTTAACTTTTAAAAAAATTTTATTCTCATTTTCCCCAAAATTTCATCTAAATTTGGATTACACATCCACATTTTAATGAAACATGTTGAAATTTCTGTTCCACACATTAATATGAATATACCAATGTTTTGTACACCTAGACATAGGTTGAGAGAAGATCCTCAATCTCATCAAATGTGGCTTAATTTGTCTTCTTTACCTTTTTTTTTTTTCACTTATATATTTCCTTCTTTATCAGGAGTCCAAGATATTCAAAACTCAAACCGCTCAATGACTTGTAAACGTCACAAATCCTCGATATCAAAAGAGATTTCTTCAAATCTCCCAAATAACAAATGCACAACTTAATTGAGAGAAAACTGCCTTCTAAAGAAATACGATCTGATTTGTCGTCTTTTTCTTCTTCTTGAAAGACCCAGAATGCTAAAAGACGAGGAGAATAAACCAAGCTGCTATTTGACTTGAAAACATTGAAAATAATTTTCAATATCGAGAGATCACAAATTCTTCAAGTAACTGACCTTCAAATGTTTGAGAATAATTACTATAGAGTCGTAATAAACCAGCTTTCATGTTCGAGAATACCTATATTTGTAATGTCATCTTTGCAAGACCTTAGTGTTTGAGGTTGGGTAAGTTAAAAGAATAGACCTTTTTTAGGGAAAGGAATCAGATTCTTACTCCAATTTTGTGTCCCTAAAGATAAGGACACTATCATTATTTCGGCAATCTAGAGAGAGAAAGAAGACCCAATCACTTACCTTTGACCAATGGAATGCCCTTTGAAATTCCTATGGTTGTCAAGTCTAGATCAAACTTTATTTTGTTAGAAAGAAAAAAAATATTTTTTAAATTCTCTTCAGCAGAAATAATATTTGTTGTGGCATTTAAGTCCTTTGAGGCTATCTATGATTGTGTAATATTGCTCATCCTTAAAAATATTTTCATTTGTATTTAAAATGTAATTTCTAGTTAGACTTCCATTAAACCTAAACTATATAATTAGTTTTTGATCATTGAAATGTTGGTATAATTTTATATTCTTTTAAAATGGAGGTTTGTTTGGGTTTGACGATTTTAAATATCGATACCTACAAAAATGTCAAGATCTCAATTTTATGGAAATATATATTTCTAGAAAATTCTTAAAAATAAAAGATTCATAAAAATATTTAAATGAACAAATAAGTCGATATTCATATTATTAATATTGGGACTACATTAATACTATTTTGTCTCGTATGTATCACATTCATGGTTAACATGAACTTAGTTCAGTGGTAATTGACATCTTTCTGATCAAGAGGTTATGAATTCGGATTTTCAATTCCTAGAAAAATATATCACATCTGTAAATGTATAGAAACATTGATGAAATGTGAGGTGTTAGATAGAAATTTAACAAGAAGAATGAGATGAACTTTGTTCGGGATAAGTTTATGTTTGTAGGTGTAGCCAAACAGGGGGATATCTTGGCTACAGTGCTAACGGCGCGAAAAGGCAAATTGTTTCGGCGCCTGACGTGCTTAGCTGGAAGGTGTTGGCATGCTCTTATGGTTTTGTTGACTCTTTTACCCTTGGCCCATGCTCTTCCAAATGACATCTCTACCCTTACCTATTTTGTTTTCTTCTTTTTTTTTATTTGAATCTCAACTCTATCTCATTTTTATCTCTATATTTTTATATAGACATTTAAAATTTCAAAATATCTATTTTAATTTTTGACTTAAAAATAAAAATTATTTTAGTCATCGTTATATTGTCTTCTCACGTACTATCTATTTGCTCGATGCTCACTTATAATTAATGTGGCTTGAGTACATGCTTCATATTAGCATGTTTATACACCTATTTGAAGCTACACCATTAATTTGTAAGATTAAACAAATTTAAGGACCAAAGTGAATAAACATTTTGAAATTCAGGGTACAAAATAAAATAAGTTGGAAAGTTCTTGACCAAAAAATATACGTTTTGAAAGCTGTTATATGAACTAAAACACGATTGACAAAAATAGGAGGTTCTGCAGAGCTCTTAAGTTAAAAATAACACCAAAAGAATCAAAATAAAACAAATTTGAAAGTTTATAGACCAAAATGAGACCTAAACCTTATTTTTAATACTTTGACCTCCTTATTTTCTTTTAAAATATTACCTGGGAGTGAAATTTTGAATTGAGGACTTTTAAATAAGGCAGAGATACCTGAAACATAATCTTTTGTTTTTTTTTAATCTAAACATTTACACATCGCAATTTAAGATGGAAAAAGTATATAATGCAAACAATACCAGAACTAAGTGAATGCCCGCCCTAAATTCAGTTTACACAATGTTACACAATTATGTCATTAGTCATTTAAGTTATACGACTTTGCATTCCTAAGAAAATAGAACGGGTTCAAAATATTTCTGGACCTAACTTAATCTAAATAATAACAAAAGATACTCACGATTATGAATTTAAACGGTTATGATCTTAAAATTTGTCGTCTTCTCACTTTTTTATTTGTCACAATATTACATTATAGAGAATATAACAAGATCAAAAAGACCTTCCATTTCTAAAGATTGAGTTATGGTCAATTTAACTAAAATCTCTTAAATGAGAAGGGTATTATGGTAATTGAAAGAGGCAATTTTAGTCATAGAAAGCCTAAGAATCTAGCTTGAATTAAGCACTGTAAAAAGTGAAATGAGTTGATTTGGGTAAATCCACGTAAGCATCATTTACTACACAGGAAAGAAAAAGACATTCTGACGTCAGCCCCAAGGACCATGCCAGCTCAATTCCATCAATCCCATACCTTCCCACTTTATATTTTAATTATTATTAATTTTTCAAAAGATACAAAATAAAAACTTGGCGTAAAATCTACATATATATTACATATAATAAATTATCCGAAATTCCCTATTCATCTTTTTTTTTTTAAGTAATTAGAAAAGTTTACGCGTTTTTAATTTCCTTTCATTAAGAAAAAAAATTAACCAAACGGAATAAAATCTAGACCATAGCTATACATTTTAATTTCAAATGAAATCATTCATCAGGAAATAATAGACATCAAATTTATAAGCTAGATTAGGGAGTAGTAACATAACTAAACATTAAGGATATAATTTCTTGGATAAGATCAAAACGTAACCATAAACACACATTTTAGTTGTCTTCCCATATGGGCTCAACGTTGTTAATCTTTTTCTTGAAAAAGATTCATTTTTTCCCGGTAAATCATTGGAAATCGATGGAACCCATTTAAGCAAATTGAAATTGGGTGAAGAAAAAAAGAATGATTTGAAATTATACACGAATAACAGTCTGGTAGAAGGAGTAGAGTGAGAAAATGAATGAAATGTACAAGGGGGAGAGAGAAATATGATAAAATAAGAGAATGTAGGCGCATATATATATATATAGATGTGATATAGAATGGTTGAAAATGGTGATTCTTAAGTAAACGGGTAGCCGTAGCGACGAAGAGAGAGAGAGAGAGAGAGAGGAGGAAGCGGCCGCTCGTGAAGCTGCAGAGTAAAGAAGGAAAGACAATTCGAAGAAAAAGATCGAAATCTGAAAATAAATTTTAACAAAAATAGTCGAACGATTTTCTCTTTGTAGATTCATTCTTTGCTTCCTTCTTTAATTTCACGGGATCCCCATCTTCTTCTTCTTCTTCTTCTTCTTCTTCTTCTTCTTATCCTTTACTCCCATGTCTTTCTCACGCCCCTTCTGTTTTTCTGTTTCTCTGTTTTCTTTCTGTAACCATTTTTCTCTTATTTCTTGCTCTATACTATTCGGCTCCCACATTTTTCAATAACGGGGATAACCCCAAATTCCAGAAGCAGGTTCTGTTTCTTTTTCTTATGATAATTGTATCTTTGTTTTGGTTGTAATCTGTATAGTAAATGTCTCATACTGGGAAATCGATTCAAGAAATGGGTTATGATTCTTTACCTGGGCGGTTTCGCGACGCGTTTAACTTGGGCGATAACAAGCCTGATGTGAAAGAGCACGATCTGAGTTCACCGGTTTCGCCATTGATGATGACTCGGAGCTCGGTTACTGGTGACAATGGCTATG